CAATGCAGAAGGATCTGATCTGGAGCATTAGAGATGGTCAAGCAACTAGATTCTGGACCCATCCTTGGGTGGAGAAGGGTGAGATTATTGAGGATTATTCACTACAACATCTAACAGAGGAGGAGTGTGGTTCATTTGTGACAGAATGGACTATCGATGAAGGTGAGTGAGACTGGGATAGAATCAAGCCACTCCTTCCTGATGACATTCTTCTTCTTATTGCAAGAAAGGCCTCACAGTGCCCTGACTTGGGAGAAGACACGACTCTCTGAGGAGAGGAGAAGGATGGACGCTTTAGTCTAAAGTCAGCTTACAACCTGGTGACAAACATGATTGAGGAGGAACCGATGAAGATGCGGAAAGAGCTTTGGCATTGGAAAGGACCAAGGCGAGTGAAACACTTCCTCTGACTTGCAAATCATGATAGGCTTCTCACCAACAAGTAGAGAGAGAAGATGAAGTTGACAACTTGCAGCGACTGTAAAGCCTGCCCAGGAATTGAAGAAATAACAGAACATATTCGTCGGAAGTGCAAGAGAACTGGAGGCATTTGGAAAAACCTTCTTAAAGTCAGATTAGCCACAGTGGGATTCCATACCTAGTTGTGTGAGAATCTTAAAGCAGATGATACTAGGACTGACTTTGGTCTTGTGTGTTGGATAATCTGGAAGCAGAGAAACGAATAGGCAATCAAAGTGAAGACTTCTACTGATGAAAGAGAAATCCATAGAGCCCTCGCCTGGTACAAATCAACAAGCAGGCGAACGAGAACGTGAAAAGAAGCATCCTCCCATTAAGAAGAAGCCAGGAGTCAAAAGCCTTAGCCTGGAAACCTCCACCTGGAAGCTGTATCCAGTTGCAAATTAACGACTCAATTCTTAGATCGTATGGTAAAGCAACAGTAGGAGGATTAATTAGAGACCACCTTGGAAGAATGTTGGATGTTTTCACTTGTAACCATAGTTAGTAAATACTCCGTTTAATACACATATATGTACCCGTACGTACTTTATCCGTTTAAAACTTCCGTATCCGTATTATTGTCAAGCCATTTCGTTTTCCCCCGTTCATTTGATGGCTCCCGTACTAAACACGTATAAAACCCGTATAACACGTTTATTATCCGTATTTTACGAATTAAATTGTTAACTTTAATATAATTTATATATTTATTTTTAAAATGATTAATTTTATATATTTATGACTATTAACGTACTATTAAACGTAATTTTAGCTTAGAGACAAAGTATAATACACGTACGTATTTTTTACGTAACTTTCTCGTACTGTATTTTACTAACTATTAAATTCGGTAAATGCTCACTCACAAGAGCATAAATCAAAGGCGCAACAGAAGGCTTGGAGCGTGCGGCAGAAAGGCTTCAAGAAAGTGGAGTTCAACATTGACTCGTCTATAACAATTGCAATTATACAAAACAGGAATGACACCAACCATTGTCATGGTTCTCTCGAGGAGCACTTCTACAGACTTCTTGATCGTGATTGGGAAGTGAAGATTTCCCATGTTTTTAGAGAATGTAATTTTGCAGCTGACTTTTTGGCAGGAAAGGGACACCTCTCTCCTTTTGGCACACATTCTTTCGAAGTGTGCGAACCTAATTTGGGTCATTGGCTCCTTTATGAGTCTGTAGGCATTGCCACGAATCATGTGATTTCAATATGATTTAGGCGTCTTTTGGTGTCTGTCTTCCTACCCAAAAAAAGTTGCATAAAATTAAGATGGCACATATGACTATAAAATTACATGGTCACCATAGCAAAGTCCATGTTTTTTATAGTCATATATGCCAAGTCACCATGACTTGGACAAAACGGTGGATAGGTAAGTGTATGCGGTTGATCGAATACATTATTGTCTGTTTTGCTACGTTGAGCAAACGGTTGACTGATGGCTCATAGTTCGACCTAATGGCTCAAGTGGTCAACTGCTTTCAAAAAAATGATCAAACTCGCGTCAACTTTTTGTATATGTTCCCTTTTGTTTGTAATTGTTTAACTTCCTTTTGCATATTGATATAACATTCTGAGTCACATTTTAGAGGATGGATAATGAAGAAACAAACATGGAGGATATTACTTAGAATGTCGAGCATGAAGAAATAAAGCCGGACGATGAATATGATATGCATAGTGGGGAGGATAAAGAAACGAGGGATGATTAAGAAACTAATGAAGACGATGACGAGATAAATGAAGAACCGAAGGACGAGCCCATGGTGTAAGCAAATGTTTCAACTCCACCAATCACCCTGAACGCTATATAAGTTCGTACGATTAAGTTACTCTAACCTAAAGTGTGTTCATCTGGCTGAATATTTGCCCCATACAATCAGTCATGTTAGTTATGTCAACTCATGTAAGAGGGATTCACCATGTTGTAGTCAGACTGCATCGTCCAGACATCGTGATATATGTATTTATTTGATGACTTTTAGAAAGAAAAAAAAATAAGGAAATTCAAACTTAGAAAGCACCAGATGACCAACTAAGAAAACAAAGTTGTATTCACTTAAGATAAAGCTCATCTGAAATACAATAACAATCTACACAAAAATATGATGTTGGTAGAGAGAATAATCAGAAAGAAATATGGATGCGAGCAATAACTCATAGGCCTATGCTTCCCTCAAGTCATTCAAAAATCCTGAGCTTACGTAGCTTATTCAAAAGAACAATGTCCAAGTAATCAAACTATTCTCAATAGTCAATAGCACAAGGAAACATAAAATTCTCATTTCCTTGTTTCCACTTCCAAATATAAATATACTCATTTATGTAGAAATGTGTGGGAAACCCGACCACGGGTTAGAGTGGGAGGACCGAACTCGGCCAAGAAGGGAGGGAAGAATGGAAAACTTGTAATTTATGTTATTTTCGGTTTACTACTTAAGGCTACAACTCATTAGTTTTGGACGTTAAGCAATAATAATCAGAAATTCCCAAATCCCCAATCTCTCTTTTTCTCTCTTGTTCTTCCTCAATTCTCCAAATCCCTAAATTCTTCTCTTCTCAATCCCTAAACTCCCAATTGGGATTTCTTGTGTCTTACAAAATGGGCATTCCCAAACCGTACCTGTTCTCAGACTAGGTAATCCAAGTTCAGGAATGTCCCGAACTCTTGAAGGACTAACAGGAGCATCAGGTTCTGCAATTTTATATGTACAACTATAGTCATTTCCAGAAGTTGTTGCGTCAGTATGTGAAGTACTCGAGCGACGTGATGCACATGAGACATCAGGAGTCAGTCTGAAACTTTCCCGGGGAGGTGTTCGCCATGGAGGAGATCCAGCTAAATCTGGATCAGCAACTAGGTAAAATGAGCTTCCCCTTCTTGAATCAATCTGCAATTTTATACAGAGAAGAACTAACAGTTACACAATGCTGAATGCAGTACAAGGTATTCTAGTTTCTTAAACTCAGATAACATGTGTTGAATTATCTCCCTGAGGTATCAAAACGAAGGGTTAACCATATCTCCCCCTAACCAACAATTGTTTTTCGAGCAATATGATTAGAAGGTCACAACTATGTTGTAAGTAGATAACTAAACAACATCCAGAAAAGGCTGGCAACTTCAATGAATCAGGCAGCAATGCACCCATCAAAAGGATTACCATGACAGGAAAAGCAGATTCCTCGGTGTACTTCTTAGAGGCTTCAGGGCTAGGATAAAAGAGCGCCAACAAGAAAAAAAGTAATTAAGCAAGTACAGAAACATTCCGCAGTTGGAGAAAATTGGATACTTCAAAAAGAAAGCAGAACAGAAAGAAACGAGAATTGCAGAAAGTGCACCACTCTTACATTCTTGGCAACCAAACAACATGTAGAAATTCTGAACTCTAACAGCTCTTTGATAAGTCCGGAAGAGAGAAGGAACCCCAACAGCTTCCAGCGATCACGGCGGTAGGCAACAGAGCCTCCGCCGCCGGCTCCATATTCAAAATCGAGAAGTCCTAGGATGATTCCAACCGAGCTGCGTTAGTAGCGGCAATTACGACAAGAGTAAGTAATTAGCCAGCGAGTGGCAGACCGTCGTTAAAGGGAAGAGCAGTGAAGTCTGAAATATACGCGCTTTTCCTAGGCGCCAAACACATTAAGCCTGCAGGGCGACGCCTAGCTCTTTGGAGGAGAACATTCAAAGTAAGAAAGCCAGTCAAACGCCATAGTTAGCTGGCGCTACAGTTACCCTACAACAGAGTAACGTTTATCTCTATTTGGGCTGAAGTGCAATTGCACTATGGTGTTGATACATCCAGCATATGATTTCATTGTTGAATCGCCCCATGCATTTTAGTAATTTCATCATTACAGTTGACTTGTTTACAGCAACGCCGAGCATTCGATCTAACTGCTAGAAATGCAGCATAGCCAAAGTCTCGGGAGCTCCCTTCCGTTCAGCACCTTGGCTTCTTATCAGAAGTTTTTGTTACAGTTACAAAAAGAAAAACCAACATGTTCTAAGTTCTAACCCAGTAACCCAAGGGGCGGTAAGAGAGGCTCACCGAGAAAGATGTAAAAATTTATTCCTGCAAGAAGAAATCCATCTCTATAATACAACAAAAGTTGCACAGGCTACGAAACATGGAGGAAACCCTTAAGGAGAATTGCACATATATTTATATATATATATAGATACGTTATTGCCTCTAACGAGTACTATGACTAAGCGAACTCCAATAGTAAAGAGACATCACTACTGAGACCTCCACGGGAGAAAGAAAAAGAAAAAAGATAAATAAACACACAAAAGTACCATTTCAGCAATGCAGGTGGCCTCTGATCATCAACACTAGACACTAGGGCTAGCACACAAAGAGAAGGTAGCAAGGAAATCCAGGTTGAGTTCGAGTCTCTCGGTGATTTAGCTGTGTGTTTATGACTGATTGGTATACGAACAGTATGGTAAGAATGTCAACAACTCCTGCATAATGGCCGCATTATGTGCAAAGATCTGATTTCGGAAAACCCTTCGTTGCAGTTTATACTTCCTCCCTGTCTTGCCGGCTACTCTTCAGGATGTTGTACTTGCAGAGAGGACACGTGGCATTAATGTGAAGCCACTTGTCTACGCAGGTGCAGTGAAAGTGATGTCCACAAGGTAGTTCCCTTAGCTCGACACCGTCGTCATATGAAGATAGGCATATGCAACATTCCTACATCCAACAAACACCAACAGTTATTGATTTCGTTTTCCTTTTTAAATCGCGAACTGAAGTATAAAATCTGGTGGACAGCTTGAAGAAGAGAGATGGAATGCGTACTGCATCCTCCTGGGAAAGGACACGCTCAATTGGAGAATCGGTGCCACATTCTGTCATTATTCCACCAGGGGTTTCTTGATCCCCAACTGCAAGCTTCTCGTTATCGCTGGCCCTTCGGAATTTGAACTTTACAAGCTGATCTATATCTTCTTTGGATGCTCCTTCCTGCTTTTACATTTTGCATACAACGTTGAAATACGGCAATAAAGGACATTATCTACTATCAAGTAACAAATGAAATCACAATGTCGGAATCCAAAGCATCTGAGGTAAATAGTAATGGACAAAATGCACATATGTATGCTGATGAACAGAGGTTCTGCTTGAATGTTATTCAATATGTTTTCCTTCTTCTGAACCAGTCTTATTTTGGTTTTCATCCTCTTCCTTATTTGAATAGTTCCCTTATGACAGTTAAGGTCTTCCAGAAAAACTAGTTTATTTGGAATATTATTTACTCGGATAAATTTAGTTTCCTTGCATATTAGTCATTAGTTATTGATTCATCTTATTTGTTTCTTTGAGTGGGTTCTCAAAACCCTATCTAGAGTGGAATCTAAAGCAAATCCTGCTCCTGAATTGCATAGGCAACGCCCTGAAATACTATTTTTTCTACTGTTTTATGAAATTTCCAGCAAATACCTCTGAGCACAACACCTGCTTCTTACGTTCTCTTTGCCTAATAAACTCTAGGCATATCAGGTTACCAGAAAAAGAGAATCAGTAGACCACCAAAAAGTGAATTTGGGGAAAGGTTACCTGATCAGCAACTGCATATAAGATTGCAATAATGCAAGGAAGACAACAGCACACTGCGATGCCAATCACACATGCCAGAGCAACACAGAATACCACAAAGAACACATCAAAACCAAGATAGATTATGCAAAGCCTGCAAAACAACATTCAACATTCTGACAGCAATAAGAATTTTTTGCTAAGAAATGTGTACATTGAAACAGCATAGGTTATGGACGAACCAGTAAAGCTGAGGGGAGTCTTGTGCCAAAGCTTGTCCACCAGCAGACACCCAGTAGAACCCAATGATCCACCAGATAAATGAGAACATAGTATTTGCAGATTCTAGGTGCTTCGCGATGCTGGCCGAAAACATTAAAAAGAGAAGTGAAGATAATTACTTCCTCAGTTTGCATGAAATATCACAGGTTAGAACACAAATGTATAACACATGATCCTGGTAATGAATAGGAATCAATCCTCGAAGAAGTATGACACACCAAGTAAACAGATGAGTATCCTCGTGCCTGGAATACTACCTTTCCTTCTCCCTTCAAGCCAAATTTTGGAATATGACAGTATCAGGAAGATTGAATTCCACAGTTTCTGAATTTCCGGAACTCACTGCAGTCGATGCTATGCAATGTACCCGATACACTATTTGAACAAATGGTTTGTACATTGCTTAAGCTTTGCCACTGCTCAATATCAATCAAAAATCAACCAACGTACTAGCAAGAGAATTTCAGCACCGAATCCTAGGATTGCGGGCACTTCCAAACATCTAACAGAACTACCCCAAATTTATTCCAAATCAAACAGCTTAAAGAAACAATCATACCTGGTTCCATCATCCTGCAACTGTGCGAGCGTCACATAATCACCAGAATCACCTCTTGAACCAGAAATCGAACTCCCATCATTCCCTCCACCACTAGCCACAGTTCCAAACCCCACTCTCCTCCTCCTCCTTCTCCTATACTCCACACAAACACAACCCATATGCAACAGGCACTGCAGCCCATACCCAACAATCCACAACCTCAACGGCATGTTGGCCCGCTCCTCCGTGCTCAAAACGAGCACCGCAACCCCGGCAGCCACGAAAGCGAGGTTCCAAATGATATCCAGAATCACCACCGGCTTCGAATACGCCCAGTCACTCTGCCTCTCCTCCACGTGCTCGGCCGCCGTCTCCCTCACCAGCATCGACGGCTCACGCATCATCCGCCTGCCACTGGCCCGGCGCAGGAACCGAGCTGCATCGCGGAGGGACTGGCGACGGATGGATCGACGGTTGGCGGGGGAGTTGATGTTCGGGTCGGATTGGGAGCCGGGGGATAGCAAAGGTGTGGTGTCGATGATGTCCTCGGAGGACGATCCCGACCGCGGCGGCGGAGACGACGGTGGTGTCGACATAGTAGTAGACTCTGGATGTTGTTATCGAATCGCCTTTACGTGCGATTTATCTCAATTTTGGGATATGGGTTTTACGCCATGGAAAGAGGAGGGAGGAGAAATTGTGGTTTTGCGGGTTAGGGATTGGAGAAATGGATTTTCTGGTATTGGACTTGATTGAAGTTGGGGGAGTTCGTCGTCGTCGGCACTTCGTGTGATCCCTAGAAGATGCAGAAATGAAATGATGAGTTGGAAGTTTTGGTTTCCCTCTGTTTTTTTTTTTTTAATACAATTTAATATCCAAACCTTTTATTTTAAACAATATAATAGCCAAACCTTTTCGAAAACAATCTAATATCCAAATTGTCAACTTTTCGTTCGTTTGACCATGACACTTCAAGAAAGCTTTGTTTAGGGGAAATTGTCACAATACAACTTTGTTTTCTTGTTTTGGCATTACAGATGACTGAATATTTAGATATTCTACACCATCATGGTGTAGTCATGGACTTCTCGGGTTTGGAACTACGATATATTGGTGGTTTTTCAGAGAAGATATCGATGGATATTGATGAAGTGTCGTACTTCGAACTTTTTTGAAGTGTCAACTAACGGTCAAACATACAGAAAGTTGACGATTTGGATATTAAATTGTTTTCGAAAAGGTTTGGCTATTATATTGTTTAAAATGAAAGGTTTGGATATTAAATTGTATTTACCCTTTTTTCGTAGTTTTACTAGGATGGCAAATATATCTATAACTGTGGATATCCGTCCGAATCCAATCTAATTGGATATGGTAAAACCCGAACCTGAAGGACTTTTAGTGGGTACGGGTAAAACTCGAACCCGAATATTGCCGATAATGGGTGGGCATCGTTTTCTCAGTATCCAACCCGAACCCGCCCGATTATACACATACATATGTATTTTGCCTAGAAATAATCAATATTTTCTCTAACATATTTTATGTTTAGCATATAAATATAATATTTTATGAAATTGTGTTGTTTTATTAATTTTCATCGTTCTAGTGAATAATTATCATACTTTTTCGTCTTACGTAACGTGAGAATACGTGTGAATATTAATATATTGGTTGAAGTTATAAAGAGAAACTATTACCCATGGATAACAGTGAATACCCGAAACCCAAACGGGTATGAGCATGGTTTGGATTTTCTACCCGTTTCTTATGTAGGTATGGGTATGGGTAAAACCCGAACTACTTTGGGTAGGGTAACGGATATGTACTATCCGTCCTCGACCCGACCCATTGTCATCCTTAAGTTTTACGTCTGTTTTTCTTTATTATTCTTTTATTTATTTTTGGGCTATTTTTTGTTTAAGTTTGTAATTATGTCCTTTTCTGGGCTGCAATGAAATTTGGGTTATAAATTCTTTTTTTGGTTTAAACTTTTTCTGGTTCGGCGTTGAATTTTCTGTTGGAAAATTTTTCTCGCTAAGTTATGCACTTGATTTCGTAACTTCAGTCACTTAATTTCAGTCACATTTCTTTTTTTTGGTGAGACACAGAGCCCTAAGGACGCTCCAACCTTTATTCAATGATCAAATGGGTGGTCTGAACCCTAAGAATATCATGATACAACCAATACGACAGACTACTATCAGGAAAAGCAACCAAATGTCTACCTATAGGATATGAATGACCGAGACCGGCCAAATAATCAGCGACTATGTTCGCCTCTCTATAGACGTGGGTGATGTGGACCTCCCAATCGCGCTGTAACTACTGCCGAATCTCGACAATAGTGGTGTAGTGGAGATGCTCCAGCGTTGCCGATTCTATATGAGATGTTGTCGTCGTCGAGTCAGTCTGAAGAAGAACCTTCCTAGTTCCAGCGTCCCAGGCGATCCGAAGCCCATGCGTAATCCCGTCTAGTTCTGCACTTGTAATGGAACCCCCGCCAAGGTTCGTTGTGTAAGTTGAGATTAGGTGGCCATCTTCCCCCCGCCAGCAGCCGTACTACCAGTAGAGGTTATCACAAATCCATCATTGTAATGGAACCCCCGACGAAATCTTTGCAGCACATTAATGCACCATACCTGCATTGAAATAAAAAGTGTACATCATTGCTTATAGATAACAGAAAAAACAAAACACATAAAATTCGTCCTAACTTACCAGCAAGTGTTATTTTCTCGTCTGACTATTCCATGATCTGCAATAAAGTCCTCAATTTGTACCAAACACCAATATCTTGCCTATATAGAAATATACCGGGATTAGGGAAAGAATTTTATTAAATTTGACTTCTCAACGATATAAGATAATATACCTCAAGATTAATATCAGCAGTAGAAAGGAATGTACGCAACATCTGTAAGGTAACCACAATTGGCAAAGGATCTCTAAAGCAAGAAACACTCCTTGTTCTTGTGTGCTTGAGTATCATAATTGGCCTATGTTCATGAAAATATCTGATAAACGATTTTGGTTAGTGAGTAATACTTCATATTTAAAGTAAAAGAATAATTCTAACAATGAGTTACATACAATACCTGTTCAATAGTGCCCTATATCGATGTATATATGAACCACGAATCAAGTGTGTTTCATTTGTGCCCGTGAGGAGCAAATTAACTACAAATTATCCAAAAAATCCTTAATAAAATAATATTAGAATAAACAACTAAATATTAACATAAGTATAGTTTCTTACAGTTCGGCTCAGGCTCATAAACTAAGATACTCGTGAATTTAACGACCACTGGATACATAATTTCTTGAGTTTCAGCCCAGGAATAGAAATCATTCACGGTAGTGATCCAATTGATAGCAACGATTGCATTCCTAATCACACAAAGAAGTATTAATTCTTACACAACACAGTTCAATATATAAGATATGTATAGTAATATATTACCTAATGTTTTCTATTTTTACAATCACAAGCATTGTGCCATCATCATTATGCACTGGTCGTGCTATGGACAGGACACTACCTGTAAGATCTACAAAGAGGGAAAAAATTAATATAAAAGAAATATAATTTCAGATATATACTAAATACATAAGTACCTGCAAGATGCGTCGGATTCACAACCATACTCCGAAGATCCTCAAATTCATCATTTTTAAAACTATCAATGGGGAATCGTTTCCTAAATCGATCTTCATATACTACATCAAACTTTAATGCTCGGCAAATGTATATACGAATGTCTCCTGGTGTTGTACGATGAATTCTCCTTGCTTTTTTTAGACGTACGTCTTTGATTTTATATAGGTTCCTTACTCTCAAATAAGTCTGCATATAACTAATATCTTCTTCAATTGTTACTCCTTCCACCATGTTTTCCTATAAAGCAAAGAAAATAATAAATATTGTTTAAGCGATAAGATAAGATATTAATATCTAATTACATAATATATAATTATTTTATTTGGATAACCCCTAATTGTAGAATGAAACAATTAAGACAATATAGATGCATATACAACCCTCTTTGTCAATCCATAGTGTATACATAAATTGACTTGTTTCAGTTCCTATATATTCATCAGAATACCATATATGAATAAGTCGAAGCATAATATGGCCAGTTATGCATTCCCCTTTGAGATCTCTAATTACTAATGATGTGACAATTGGATCTGAAAGCAAGAAAAAAATAACCATAATTTAAAATTTAAGATAACATATTCATAAAAGTTACTTTCTAATAAATATCAACAAATTGATACTTTCTTACCATCTGGAGAATCAGGAAGTGAGTAATTTCTGGACATTCTGAGCTAAAAATACTGTTGGTCAGCAAAAAGAGTTTAAGTAGACCTGAAAGAAATAATGAAAATTAAATCTCACGCACATAGATAATAAAGAATATAAAATCTTGCTGAATAATTATACATCGGTAGCAAACTAAAAACAAAAAGAAGTTTGATATACTATATGTGAATTATTCTTATTTCCCATTCCTTTTCAAGACAAATCCGACCTCCATCTAATACAACTGACTACAAAGATATATAAAGAGAAGTGATGAAACAGAACCAAATCATGGCTCCATCAATAGAATGATAAATTATATAAATCTATAAATTAGTCATCTAATCTGATTCTTGACTGTAAGAATCATCAACCCATACACAGAAAATCTAATATAAGTAAAGGAGAAGCATCACCTCAAAGATCTACAGCTGGAATGAGTACTGTCGAGAAATTAAAAGAGAAGAAGAGAGCCATTCAAGTGTTGCTGGGAATAGTTACAAACCACACGCAAATAACGTAATGTAGATTTAGGAGAAGACTCACTTCAGAACCCTCAAGCTTAAATGGTTTATCTAGAACACTTGAGAAAAGATTACAAATGAGTTCTAAAAAGGAGACAGCTGGAGACCATGCAAAGTACAACTATTGCTTTTGTAAACTAATATTGCTAAGTGGCAATCATAATAGACCAAGAATAGACAAATGGCAGACAAATGATACCTTAGGTGGCCTAAATAATCTATATAAATAGTTATATCTTTCCATTCATAAAGGCATACATATAAAATCCTTTATAGATAATGATATAAATACCGAAGAAAGATAAATAGACCTCCTATTTATGATATGAGCATAATTAAATCACAAACAATTTAGGTGATTCAAATAGAGTTATATATAATAATAACATATATTAATTAATTAATATACAACAAAAGATTGTCTAGATGTCATAGTTATAATAAGGATATTATCAATATCTAGCTAATTATGCAAGCACCAAATCCCATTAAGTAGCTTTTCATCTGGAAAAGAAATCAAACTCCATAGCAGTGCATAAGAATTACTGCCCAGATGTAGATATATCTGCAGAAAAGACGAAACTTGTATCATATTAGAATACCAAAGTGGAACAATAGTATTCTAATATAATTTAAAGAAATGGACACCATAGATTATGCTCACTTCATTTATTATATGATCAAATAAGAATCACATCTGGATCCATCGAGAATTCTGAAAAACTTCTCTTCCAGCATCTGCAACAATTGGCAATGTTTGTCAAAAATCACCACCTAACAAGACTGTTTTACCTCCAAACGGCTTATAGTTTACATCACTGAAAGGAATGTTCATAATATCACAAAAGGCTCTATCGACAGCCTCAAAACACAAACGATGAACCATGGGCGCCTCATCCCATACTATAAGAGATGCATCAGCAATCAATTGAACAAGTGGAGTACCTTTCCTTATATCACAGGATGATCGATAGTCAATCTCAAGTGGGATCTTGAACTTTGAATGAGTTGTGCTTGCATCAGGAAGTAATGTTGCAGCAATTCCTCAAGAAGCAACCACAAGAACAATCTTTCCAAGTTCTTTAAGGTGTGAAAGCATCACTCTATATAGAAACGTTTTACCAGTTCTTCCATGTCCATGTAGGAAAAAAAGTTATGCTTATCCACCTCCACCGAATTAATCAAATCAATGACAGCATGGAAAGCAACCTCCTGTTCTGTATTCAAATCAGATAGGAGAGGAAGTGGCAAAGAAGAAGATTGTGGCACGAATGGTTGCAGATCATTATCAAAACACAAACGAAGATCTTCTGGGAGCGATACAACTGTCGGAAAAGGCAAATTAAACTGTGAAAGCGTGGCAGAATAGCCATCTAACATACGTTGCAACTCCAATAACAATTTATTTTTTGGCAATACTGCAGGAATCAAATGATTGTTGAAGTTGACATCACGTTGACATTGATATGTAATATCATCTGAAAGCAATTCCCATGTTTTGTTGAATAGACTTAATGGATCAGATAACTCACAAAACATTAACATTGTAACAAAGAGATACCTCAGAAGGCTACACATCCCCCATTGGCTCACTTCCTTTATCACAAGCAGCCATTCATCATCATTCGAAAACAACCCTAAATGTTGGCAAGCAGCTTGATATGTTCGACATAAGAAACCATTAACTGTCCGAAGATCAACGTAACTGACTACTCCACGAACTTTCGTCAGGATCAGTCTAAGATAAAATGTATCTCCACATCCTGGATGAATATAGACAACTCGGCCAATTGCAAAACCCCTTTTCCTCCGACACCATATCTTTTTCTTCAAATTTCAGACATATTTATTTGGAATTTCAGAATACAGTAAACTTCGAGCTTCTGGATCTCGTTGATTAAGAGCAAACCATTGTGTAAGGGTAGTCTCTGAGATAGCATCACGTGCAAGAATACGTGACAACCTTTGTTTCTTTGTATAAGGAACTTGATGCCTCCCTTCAAGATGTACACATAAGTGTTGCACTGCTGGCATCCTTTCATGAATAGGAAACTCAAAAAGTCGCCATGCAGCCTCATATGATGATAAACTCCGACAATCAAGGAATTGTTTGATTTCATCTAGAGGTGGTCGCTGGATTGGTATATCAGATGCAACAGAAGAGTTCGGAACAGCCTCAGCAATAACCATAGAACGGTCTGGACCTTTAGTAATATATTTGAAAAGATACTTGATCAATCGTCCTTGATGACAAACTTCAACATTTATATGAGCTTGAAAGAGCACCAGCAAATTTCTATTATAGGGAACTACATACCTATTATCAAGTGTTGTTGTCCCTTTTGTCGTTGTTATGCCAGTATCACGCCTCTTATAAACCGTGTAACCAAATTGATCCGTTGTTGTTTCTGAGTTGAATGATTTAGGAAAATACTTAGAACATGATCCATTCTTCATACACACATTGTCAGGATTATCATCACCACGTGGTCCATGGAGCATAAATTTTGTCACAGCCTCATAACCAAGAGGATCAAGTTCCGGATCGGGCAATTCAGCAGATACTGTAGCATCAATATCAGAAGACGTATGAAGTTTATTTTTTGCATCCAACCATAATAATATATGCACATGTGGTAAACCTCTTTTCTGAAACTCCATTGGTTTTATACCTACATATACACAACTATAAATATATATATATATATATATATATATGGTTCAGGCTAGCGTACGTCAGTCGTACATTGTACGCCCGTCGAGTTTTACTATTTAGAGCAGGAATTAACCGAAATTTTGTGCATGATAATATACCCTAACCTCTAATGGATAAACCCCAGTCCCTAATTCTCTAACACAAGCCACGAGATTCATTTAATCTAAAAAATAATAACCGACGGTTCTGATTCAGCGAAATATATTGAAGTGCAATAACCAAGTGTGAACACAGGTGTACAGCGTACGACTGACGTACGCTAGCCTTTGTATATATATATATGGTGGCTTCTATGGTACCCCGGGTGAAATTCGGGGTACCGCATACCTCGAGTATGGAAACTCTATCTAGACCTCGAATTACCAGGATTTTTGTGTCTGATATTATACCCTAACCCTTATTGAGTGAACCCTAGGTCATAATTATCTAAAGCATAATCTATAAACCCTAAGATGGTGCATCCAAATTTTGTGCCTATATTTGGATGAATCATAATCGTCGATTATTATTTCTAATTAAATTAATCTTGGAGTATAATATTGGGAGAGTTAACACCTAGATTTTGATCTTTAAGTGTTAGAGTATAGTATCATGTCCGAAAGATCGGTCAATTCAAGGTCTAGATAGTGTTTTCATACTCAAGGTATGCGGTACCCCGGATTTCACCCAGGGTACCGTAGAACTCGCCATATATATATATATATATATTAGATCTTTAAAACTTAAAAAAACTCGAACAGCTAATATACCATATATAACAATGAATATGTAACAAAAACAGAAATTATCAATAAGGTAGCAAAATCAAACCTGCAACTGTTTTCCCAAAAAAGTTTGACCGAACTAATTCGTCCTCTAAAGCATTTAGTTTCATGCGGAATACTCGAGCAACAATATGGGGCTTCAACTCACTTTTAGAACCACAAATATCACGAAATGATTCCGTAATCTCAGGCCATTGGGAGTTACATGTGAAGGTAATAAAAAGATCAGGACTACCATGATGATGAACAACAGCCATTGCATCCAGATATAGTTGTTTCATATACCTCGGACTACCAGTGTGTGAAGATGGCAGTACAACATGACCTACATCATCACCAGTCATATTACCTCTATTAAATTCATCTGTAAGACCCTGATACAATTCAGCTCGTAGATCATCTTGATGGGTACGCAGATAATGAAGACGATTTTGTTCAACTGTTGAAAAAGCATCGACAATATAATGTTGTAAAGCCTTCCCACCATGTAGCAGCGTCTGCCCTTCATTATCTCTATGCTGAAGTCGATAAGCATAATACTCCCGCTGAGTAACATACTTTCGTTTTAAAGTAGGAGGTACATTTACTGGTTCATATGGAATATTTACATGAAAACCATCTTCTCCATATGGGAATAACACTGGAAAATGCAAAGCATCATATTTAGGATGCACAGTGGTAATCCTTTTAAGCCCTTCAGAATGATGGTCTATAATATTATCATGTTCTCCTTCATCAGGAACAAAATCTCCCGGAATTAATCCTGCCAATTTAGAACCTGTTGGAAGATCATACTGCCGATTTGTCGTGTCTCGCAAACCAATAATTTGAAACTTCATATTCACTGTTGCTGGATCATGAAGCTGTGAACGAATCCTTCGAAATGACTTTACTAAATCATTGGTAACATCGAACAATTTCATCAAACCAGATACAATCTCGGGTTTCAGACGATTCTCTGGTGTAGAAAACTGATGCAACCGATCTGAAAGTTCAGTCTCAAGATCATAAACATAAAGTTGTGAATATCGAGGCCTTCTACCCTCCACTGGAAGTAAAGAACCTATACGATGGTAATTTTCACCACAGTTAACGAACGAATACGGACCTCGTCCTTGAGCAACCCGGGGATCCAACTGAGCACCAAATGAAGTGAACGAAAAGGCTGCATTATATGATCGAATATGTTCACGAAAATGCACTGCCATTGGTCCCCCAATAATACCAATTAACTCTTCAAGATAAGCAGGTGTCTGTTCCAAGAAAGGTAGACGAACACGACTTCGTTGACAGCATAATGTGAAAGTAGGAGAATTAGAACAATGCCTTCCAAGATCTTCTTCATACCAGAAGCGAGCACCAAAATATTGACATTCATAGTCAGGAAATCCATGATTGATCACTCTAATAAAATTAGCTTCTCGAGCAGGTGGAAGAATTTCTTCCGGAATTAACACTTCATTGACAGTAAAAGGAGCTAGTGGTAAATGAGGAGAACCTGGCGGGCTCTCCATGAAAGGATAGAGTCGAGAACAACGATCAAACTTACAAACTCGCCGCCTTCTACTAACATTCAGATGTGTAGTCTCCGGAACAGAAGCCGAAGAAACCATAACATGACCTCGCTTTATACGGCGCGAATAGCCAGGCATAAGATTTGCAGTATGAGAATTCGAATACTACAAAAAGAATCAACAAAGAACAAA